GGAGGAGAAAAATTTTTAACAGATACAAAAGTGTAAAATTAAGTGTCACAGATATGTATGGATATATTTTTTTACTGACCAATATGCAGTTTGAGACCTGGCAGCTTGCTCTCTTTCTCTCTCTCTCTTTCCCATTCCTCACCCCACCCCACTCCCATCTCTGTCTGGTGAGCACAAGTACCCTAAAGCAAATGAAATAATAAATAAATAAATAAATAATTTTAAAGAAACTTTCCAATCCAAAATGTAAGAAGAAAAAGTATAAAAGGTGGGATGGGGGATCAGCAGATGACGTTATGGTTAGATTGCTGGACTCCCACATAGTCGACTGTGGTTCGAGTTCCGTACCTGGCTGCTAAAACGTGAGGTGGGTGCATGTGTGTGTGTGTGTGCCCAAAATCCTGAGAGGAGAATGAAGGAGAAGGGATTGCAGAATGGCCAGCACCCCTGGAGGGGTATTTCTCGCTTTCTGTCTCTCTGTCTCTCTCTCCAGCTAGCACACACACTCTATAACAAAAAAATATTTCTCTTAAAAAAAAAAAAAAAGGTGGGATAGGGTAAGGAGGAACTAGTCAAAAAATGTAGAATTACAAAATGTGTGATGTGAGCCTAATGGGACTATCTAAAGGGAAGAGAGAAAGGAGTAGAAGAAATATCTGCACTAAAAAGGTTGAGAATATTCCAAACCTAATGCCAGACATGATTCACAGACCACCAGGCAGGACAAACCAACCCTCCTAACTCTACACTTCAGCACAGCATAACACTGCAGAACACCAGAGACAAAGAAGTGTCTACAAAGAAGCCAGATGAGAGAAGGAGTCTAGGCATACGATGAGACTGGTGAAAATCATTCCTAGAACAACTCTTCAGAGCTTCTGGAAATGCTCCTAAGAGCAAAGAGTAAATGAAGAGATAGCTATCAAAGAAAATCTATAAAAATTCAATTAAGAAAGGCAAGAGTCTGTGATGCTCGTTTTGTTTGTTTGTTTCTTTGTTTTTTTAAGGTTTTGCCATAAGGTACGTGTAGTTGCTGGAGAGAGACAGAAAGACAGAGAGAAAAGGTGAGAAATTACTGCCCCAGAGGGATGGTCACACTGCAGTCCCTTCTCCTCCATCCTCCTGAGATTTTGGGCATGCACATACACAGGCCCAGAGTGAGTTTCAAGCTACCAGGTCTGGGATTCAAACCACAGTCAACCATGTGCGAGTCCTACATCTGCTTGAGCCAAGATTACTCCTCCCTCCACTTTCACAGCTCAGAGAGGTAGGAAATCCAACGTGAGCCTAGCAAGCAACAGCACAGACTCTGTCTTTCTCACTGGGGGAGCAGCATGTCCATGACTCCCATTCTGCCCCACTGCCTGTGGCCCCGGTTAAGTCCTGGGTGGGCACTGCCCGGAGGCGGAGGCTGCCACTCTGAATCAGCCCCACTCGTGGAACAGCAGCTCTTTCTTGGGCACAGCATGCTGAGAACACTAGATGAGACCCCAGTCACTGTTTTCTGCTTTTGTTTTAATTTTTCAGAGAATGCATGGACTCACCAGACAGAGAGAGAGAGAGAGGGAGACAGAAAGAGAGAAAGTGAGAAAGCACCCCCCATGAGAGATGACCAAACCACCATCCCTTCCCCCTTCCTCTCCCTCCTTTCAGGATTCGGGTACACATGCACACGTGCCAGCATGTTTCTGAGGACCTGAGCCACACAGTTGACCGAGTGGATCCAGCCACCTTTACCACCATGCCATCACCTGGCCCAAACCACTCCTACCCTGCTACTTTCATTCAGCATTATACTGGAGGATCCAGCCAAAATAATTATGCAAGAAAAAGAAATACAAGACACTAGGATTGGAAAGAAAGAAGTAAAACTATACTTGCAGATGATGTGATCTTATATATTTTAAAAATCCCAAAATAGCTACCAGGGCCGATAGGCCGGCTCAGCGAGGTTGCAGGGTACAAGATCAACATACGGAAATCAGGTCTGTGTACTCTAGTGAGCAATCTGAAAGTGAAACGAAGAAAATAATTCCATGTTTGTGAGCAACAGAGAGAACAAAACATCTAAGAATAAGTCTAAGAAAGAAAGTAAAAATCATCATTGAAAGAAATTTTATAAGGTCTACATAAATGGGAAAACACATGGCATGTTCAT